AATTTCATTGTGAAACTTGTCACTTAGCTAAAGATCATCGTGTGTCTTTTAAATCAAAAGTCTATTCTGCTTCCAAACCTTTTTATTTAATTCACAGTGATGTTTGGAGTCCTTCAAAAACTAAAACTATGTCTGGAAAAAAATGGTTTGTAACATTTATTGATGATCATACACGGTTGTGTTGGGTTTATCTCATGGAGAAAAAAATCAGAAGTTGAACAAAGATTTCAAGATTTTTTTAACATGATTAACAATCAATTTCAAACTAAGATTGGCATTCTAAGGTCTGACAATGGCACTGAATATTTCAACAAATATTTAAGTACATTCCTTGTAACTAAAGGGATAATTCATCAATCCACTTGTCGCAATACTCCGCAACAAAATGGTATTGCTGAAAGAAAAAATAGACATCTTCTCGAAGTTACTAGAGCTATTATGTTTTCTATGAATGTACCTAAGTATCTTTGGGGAAATGCTTTATTAACTGCTTGTCACCTCATCAATCGAATGCCATCTCGGGTGTTACAATATGAAAGTCCTGTACAAGTGTTACAAAACAATTTTCCTACATCTCGTATTATTACGGATCTTCCCCTAAAAATTTTTGGTTGTCTCTGTTATGTTTACATCCCCAATGTTTTTCGTTCTAAGTTGGATCCTAAAGCCGAAAAATGTGTTTTTCTTGGCTATACTTCCAATAAAAAGGGATACAAATGTTTTAACCCAGTTATAAAGAAATTTTTTGAAAGCATGGATGTTCACTTTGTTGAAAATCAACCTTTTTTAAAAAATTCTCTTCAAAGGGAGAGTCAATGTAATAATAAAGAAGATAATTTTTGGAAAACTTTGCCTGCTCTAGATGATATTGTGACTACAAATCACCCAAATGCTAAGATAATAGAATCTAAAACAGGGGGAGAAACACTGATTAAGGATGATAATCCTGAACTTAAAGTGTATGTTCGAAAAAAATTCCACAAAGGTGGTGCAAACCCTATTGTCTCTCCAGTAGAAATCCAATCTGATTTACCAAGTGAAGGTCCTACAGATAATTTGTCTTCTAGTTCTTCATCTGGTAATCCTTCTTACTCATCCAATGATTTATCTGATTTGTCTTTTCCTGATATTAATCTTCCAATTTCTGTGAGAAAAAATATTCCTGACCTCGATGTCCCAATTGCTGAGAGGAAAGGTTCTCGTATGTGCACTAAACATCCTATGTCTAATTACTTGTCATATGACAAACTATCACACACCCACAAGGCATATATGTCTAGGATTTCTAATTTGTTTGTGCCCAGAACTATTCAGGAAGCATTAAGTGATCCGAATTGGAAATTAGCAGTGAAAGAAGAGATGGATGCTCTAAACAAAAATAACACTTGGAGTATCACTGATCTACCACAAGATAAAAAGGCAGTAGGGTGTAAGTGGGTTTTTACAGTGAAATGCGAGGCTGATGGAAGTGTGGAAAGATACAAAGCGAGATTAGTAGCAAAAGGATTTACTCAAACTCATGGTATTGATTACCAAGAGACTTTTGCCCCGGTTGCTAAGATCAATTCTATCAGAATTCTTCTTTCTCTTGCAGTAAATTTCAACTGGACACTATATCAATATGATGTTAAAAATGCCTTCTAGAATGGTGAATTACATGAAGAAGTATATATGAGTTTACCTCATGGATTTGAAAAAAATCTTGGAAGAAACAAAGTATGCAATTTGAGAAAATCCTTATATGGATTGAAACAATCGCCAAGGGCCTGGTTTGAGAGATTTGGAAGTGTTGTTAAGAGACATGACTTCACCCAAAGTCAAGCAGATCACACTATGTTCTTTAAACACTCATCTGAAGGTAAGATTGTTATCTTAATAGTGTATGTTGATGACATCATTATTACAGGAGATGACGTCAAAGCAATTAGTGATCTAAAGAGAAGACTTGAGGCTGAGTTCGATATCAAGGATCTTGGAAAGTTAAAATACTTTCTTGGGATGGAGTTCACAAGATCTAAAGAAGGGATTTTTCTCAACCAGCGCAAGTACATACTCGATTTACTTGCAGAAACAGGGATGACAGGGTGTAAAGCAGTAGAAACACCAATGGACCCCAATGTGAAACTAAAGTCAGTTGCTGAAGATGAAATAATAGATAAAGAACGTTATCAACGATTGGCTGGAAGACTAATTTATTTGTCACATACAAGGCCAGATATAGCCTTTGTAGTGAGTGTAATAAGCCAATTTATGCATGCACCAGGTGCAACCCACTTTGAAGCTATTTTCAGAATATTAAGATATTTAAAAGGTACTCCGGGAAAGGGGCTGATATTCAGAAATAGAGGACATATACAGGTTGAAGCCTATACAGATGTTGATTGGGCAGGTAATATAAATGATAGAAGGTCTACCTCAAGATATTGTACTTTTGTTGGTGGAAATCTAGTTACATGGAGGAGCAAAAAACAAAATGTTGTAGCCAGGAGCAGTGCAGAAGCTGAATTTCGATCTGTGGCCCATGGTTTTTGTGAAGTATTATGGATCAAAAAGTTCATGGAAGAATTGAAGTTTTTTGGCCCAACTCCAATTAAAGTTTACTGCGATAATAAGGTTGTTATTTCTATTGCCCATAATCATGTCCTACATGACAGGACAAAGCATGTTGAAGTGGATAAGCATTTCATCAAAGAAAAAATTGACAGCAGTGAGATTTGTATGTCCTACGTACCCACCAAAAGTCAAGTAGCAGATGTTCTCACAAAGAGTCTTCCAAAGAAACTGTTTGATAACATGGTGTGCAAGCTTGCTATGAACGATATATTCATGCCAGCTTGAGGGGGAGTGTTGAATATTAGCACAAAATCAAAACAGATTCTGTCATACAGCTCATTATGGCTGAATTTAAATTGTGATTAAATAAAAATTAACTGCATTATTATATTCTTACCTTATTTAAGATTAGCATTTATAGGGAGAATAGTTACCCATATTTCCTAGTGTAATTTATATTCTATAAATACCTCATATTTACTGTGTTACAGAATATACAAAATGAAAAAAGCATATTTCTATAAAAAAAATTCTTGGTTTACCACCTTCTTAGTCTCTTTCTTAGCTTTCTTTCTTATCATAGTTTCAATGTTTTCTCAACATCTTTTTTTGCTACTTTTCTAATTCCACTTCTTTATGTCTATCAGAAACCTCCTCCAAGATTTTGGGTTAAAAATCTTTTAATTTTAACTCTTAAAATGTCATCATTTGATTTATGGAGTTATGTGTGGCTTCTTCTCTTTACTCTTTACTTGACTCTTACATTCATAATCAATAATCTATATTGAATAGTCCGACTCTCTCTAGCTATAACTTTACAGTCCAAATAAATCTTTCTATTTAATTTGTTAATAAAAAAGATATTTATTTAAGGATATCCCGCCCTCACTCTATCCTAAATCACGTATTAACTATAGGAAACTCAAAAGCCAACAAAAAATATACAAAGAATCTATCCTCTAAATTTATCTCACTGAGGCCACACCTCATGTAATCTCATAAAACCTCTTGATTAGCTCCTTACACACTCATTTAGATTCCCTCCTAAAAAAAAAGTCTTATGATATATTCTAAAATAAGAATTATAATTCTTCCAAAACCTTTACTTTAAGGTGTTCTGTTCTGTTCTGCTAAAGCAATCTAAGGTGCTACCTAAACACTAATAACATTAAGGTCTCTTGTTTTACTACATGTTTTATGATTTTTATTTGATCTCATACCCTATTTACATCCACAACATCCTTTGTCTAGACCTTGTCAAATATAATTCTCTCCTCATTCTCAATCTACCTTTGTTCGTGTACCAAAACTTCAATTTTGAGTTGTTTAATTCTTTCACTTTTTTCACCCGCCTATTTGGTTTTTTCATAAACACATAAAATCCATCTTCCTCTTGACCATAATTCTACTATTTTCATAGATGTTTCTCTAAGGATGTCTATATTCCATATTCCGAAATTAGTCATACTCTCGTGAACAAAGTTCTTTATCAACAAACATTTGTGGAAATGTGAGAACATGTGCTTATTTTCACTACATTCGGGCAGCAATACAATGAGCTTTATTCATTTGACATTGTATTCGAGCTATATAACATCTTGTTTCTAGATAACAACCTAGCATTCAATTTATGCATTCGATCATGTCACAGAGATTCAACAAAATTTTATGTTGATTGCCAATTCTTCAACGCAACCTTTGGTCGAAAGAGGCCAATACTAAAACTAACATAAGTCGGATTGAAAGAGGTCTATAATAATCGGACATAGAACCAGCTATGCATAGTAAAACTAACAAAGATTATTTGAATCAAAAATACAATTATTCTGACATCTTAAAAAAAAAAAATTGAACCAGATCATTTTAACCCAACAAAAAATGGTAATAAAATTGGCAATATCATCCTAGAACTGCTTCTACAGGTTCAAAGATATCCTAGCTCGAGATGCTCTTGTACAAAACATTCAGAACCTTAATTTACAAACTAAATTATTGTGTATGACCAAAGCTCAAAAAAGCAATGCTAAAAAAAACATTGACATTAACACTAACATAGCTTACCATGGTTCTCTATATCGCGATAAGAGTGCTTCCGGCTTCCAATTTCAGACACGCAAGTGAATAAGAGTGCTTCCAGCTTCCAATTTCAGACACACGCAAGTGCCGCGACCAACAATGCAAAGGACTAATAATTATCTCCTTTTCAAGGTCTGGGAACCGGGATGGAGTGCAGCTATTACAACACCGTCAGTATTCTTCTGCATTTCAGATTAGTGAGCAAAACATAACTTCGTGGTACACTAAAACACCGTCAGTATTCTTCTGCATTTCAGATTAGTGAGAAAAACATAACTTCGTGGTACACCAAAACACCGTCAGTATTCTTCTGCGTTTCAGATTAGTGAGCAAAACATAACTTTCTGGTACACCAAAACACGCCATTGATATCATTGTGCATTTTCCGATATGACTTCATCACGGTTGTGTGGAAGAGTGAAATCCAGAACCTCCTCAATATCATCTGCAGGCTAATAAGAGAAATACACAAATAACACCTATACCAAAATTTAATCATAATGAAAATGTCATACACATCCAACACCAACGCTTACCTGCCATAGTTCCAATAGCTGCCAAAACAGATAACCAACAATCATAACCAAGCAAAACAGCTTCCCCGCCCACGCTCCACATACGAGGTATCTAAAGAAAAGAGAAAATCAGCAATGGTAGAAATAGCACCTCATCCACCTACTACTTGTTTTACAGGCCTATCAATAACACTCTACGGCATGTTGTCATTGTGTCCATATTGAACCTATGATGTTTAGTGTACCGTGAGAGACGCTCTAGTAGATTTTGATTGGAACACTTCAAAGCACGGTCATACACAATTTCAGTTCTTTTGGCAACATCTTTCCAGTCGTAGAGCTCCCTCATCTACAGAGAACACGTAAACAAAAAAGAACTAGTTTACCCACCAAATGTGTTAGAAAAGAAGATTTCGACAATAAACTCACTCGATTATGCATATCTTGTGGATCAATTTTTGGCAGCATATATATGGCCTTTTGTATTGCATACACCATATCACTCGGATCAGGTTCTGCTAAAACAACCATGTCATCTGGCAAAACCTATATAGCAAAGAATTGCATCTATATCAAGCCTCTAAGGACAGCGATCCAAAACTGTTGAATTGGAAAGAAACCGAACAGACATAAAAGCAAAACCTGTCGGACTACCTACCTCAGGAACTCCACCAACACGCGTGCTGACTGTTAACAATCCACAGCTGGCCGCCTCTAATATAGCTATGCAAAAAGCTTCTGTTAAGGAACTGAAACAATACAAATGTTATTGATGACTAAAACTAGATGCGCACCATAACTGGCGGTGACGTAAGAACCCCAACATCCCATATCATTAAACTAAACTCAAACTTCTAGAACTGCCTATCTTTCATAATTAAGCAGAAGAATTTTAAACTCGCTGTTGCAAAGCTTTAAAAAGAGCAGAGGAATTTGATAAAGGTGCTGAACCTATTTAAGAAGATATGCCCACTTATTAGAACAGATCGGACTTGTGCATGTGGCACAGCTCCCAACATTTCTACTCGATCTTGTAGAGAATGTTTTTCTCTCATCTCTTCCAACCGCACACGCTTAGCTCCATCCCCTCCAACAATGAAACGAACCTTCAAAAGGATATAAAAATTATGCCTTTGAAGATATAAAATTAGAAGCAAATTACTCCAATCCATTCCTGGAGCATTAAGTATTTCTATATGTCCAGTTTTAATACGATTCAACGCCAAAGACAGTACTGTCTTTAAACAGATATACAATTTACATCATATCCTGAGTTATATTTGACGAATACAAACTAAGTTTTACATGACATCAAAGATTGTGAAGATATACATTACTTTCAGTAAATGTACAGAGTAAGCTCCCTGTACAAAATTGGTGAAAGGTTTAGTAATGTGTCCACTGGCCAAAGTACCCCATATTTAAAAAGCCACTAATGATCAATATACTAATGTTCCAAATGCAACCCCATGTAACTATGCCAATTTTAAATTTTCCCCTTTAGGATTGGGAGTGGAATTGGAGTAGGATAGATGCTTCTCTATCTATTGAAGCATCCGTTGTAGAATTGGATGACCTCTTATGCATGTTCGAGTTGACTGATGAAAAAATCACTGCCAACAAACAATAAATGACAATGACTGACCACAACTAATCCTTTTATAAGGTTGCTTAGTGTGCTATATAGCTCTTCATCATGAAAGTAGGACCATCTTGGTAAAATCCTTGTCTTTTTTCTTGAAAATTGTCTTGAATTAGTCTCCTATATGAAACAAGGCAATTCCTATTTCCCTCAAATTTGTTCAAGTAATTCTCCAATTATCATCACAAAGAATACATGGAATGAGCTCATCAAGGCATGTTGTGGGTTAACAAAATCTGTTCTAATTAATAAAAGCTGCTCTGAAATGCCATCAAATAAGTGATTGATGAAAGTTTTAGTAAAACTTTGAATACCTAAAATTATAAAAACATAAACTATTTAACAGATAGCACAAAACTGCCCATAGGCCACTTACGAAAAGCACCTTTTACTTGCATAGAGCATCACGGAAAGCACCATAAAGAAATCGCACCAAACATAAACTTTGCAGCTATATGCATCATTATGAAAAGTCATAACATTCCCAAATGGGATATGTCGTAGTTATGCAAGACAAACAAACAATGCTTTTCTTAACTCACATTGGGATGTAATCGACATACTTCTGGGATGACTTCCACAAGCAAATCAACCCCCTTCCGATAAACCAATCGGCTGATAACAACAATAACAATTTCTTTCAATGTTCTTGAACGGCCCACTGCTGGCGTGAACATGGAAGTATCAACAGCATTAGGTATCACAAAAACTTTCTCTGGCGGCAAACCTGACCTCAACACAGTGTTTTCCTTGCTTGTATGAGAAACACATATGGCTTGAGTCACATCTGCCAAGGTAAACTGCAACACCTTATTCATGTGGATGCTTCCAATATCAGCAAAACCATACAGCGAATGATCGGTAAACACAACCTTGTATCCCATGGTTCTTGCATGCATGAGAGATTCATGACAAAATGTTGAAAAGGCTTGGTGGCCGTGCACCACTGTGATCCTTTCTCGTATAAGAATAGTTCTTATAATCGGTAATAACCCATATATGGTCGGGAACGTATTCTGCATAACAAAAGGTCTCCATGGAACATAGTATACTTTCAGACCTCCAGTCATATATCTAACCCCGGATCGATTTCCATACGCATGAGTTGCAATCACCACCTGAATTATTTCATTGAATTTCACATTATTACAAACAAACTCACCATAACTAACAATAACTGGGATTGACCCTCTTGAATTAGTTGGTCGCAAGACCAGATACCAAGCTTAAAAAAAGGACTTATAAAAATAAGCTGTTCCAAACCCTAATAAGTCAAAAAAAAATACTACAAAACCTAATAAGTTAGTTAATTATACCGTTAGAGATATATTTACCCTAATTAGCAACATATGTTTAGAAAAGAGCAAGGAATCAAAAATGTTAAGATAACAATAATTAAGAGGTAATAGAACCTTGTGGCCTAAATTGAGTAAACACTGTGAGAGATAATAAATATGATTCTCAACGCCACCAAAGTTGGGATAGAAAAAATCTGAAACCATCAGGATTCTATGCTTTCCTCCATGATCATCCCCCATTGTGCCACTTTCACACTATGCTCAGGTGGATGTAATAGAAGAAGAAGTTCAATTTGAAGAATGAAAAATTCAAAAGAAGAAGCAAAAACGAGTGTTTGGGGGTGATGTGGTTACGGAGGATGAGATCTATGGCAAGAGAGAACAAACTGATGAGTCGTGTGTTGTTGTTATTGTCGTTTTTAAACCGAATTATTAATAGATGAATATGATTTAAATGTAAATTTTTTAAAATTTTAATCTTCTCCTATAAACTTAAAGAAACACACTACCACCAAAAAATACAGACAAGCCCTTTTAGTTTGATTTTAAATTTTGACACATCTTCAATATATTTATTTTTACACTTCTATATTTTTATTCCAAAAATGAATGTTTAAAAATGACATTGAAATGTACAATTCATACACACACAAAATTTCATCACTAATTAATTGATTAGTTTTAATTTATTATAAAATTATATATGAGATAAATATTTCTGATTAAAAAATAAAATAAAAACTCTTATTTTGTCACTTCATTTTATATTTATAATTTAACTTCATTGTTTTACACAGATTTCTAAAATGAGTTCCTAAAAAATATTGTTAAAAAAATTAAATAATTGCAATGATTTTTTATTAATCTTTTTTAATATATATCATTTAAATAAAAATTAAAGTTATTATAATGTACTAATTAAAGTTTATTATAGATATCATATATGGGAGAAATGTATATGATCTTATCAGTTGATCAGATGTCAAAGCAAACGTCTGTGATGTTGGGTGTGAAAGAGGAGGAGGGGGTATATCTCCAAGGCACTCCGATATTAAAGTAAGAAAATGAGCAAGAGAGAGAGAGAGAGAGAGAGAGAGAGAGAGAGAGAGAGAGAGAGAGAGAGAGAGAGAGAGAGAGAGAGAGCAAGTACAGAATATGAGTGTTTCAGGGTGAATATTGGATATCTAACCCTCTCAAGTGAGAGGGTTTTTATAGTGCCTCCAGCACTTGGCCATTGATCCATATTTTTGGAGCTAGATAATCGTTTCCCGAAGAATAAGTAACTGCCAGAACTAGCCGTTGGGACGGGCAGATGTGCCCAAAACTAGTTGTTGCCACGGGCAGAGGCGTAGTTACAGGCACAAGCGTCATGTCTGTTTATGGATGGTGGATTCGTGCGTGACGGAAAGAGACTAACGAGGAGAAGTGTTGTGACCAAGAGTAAATTAGTCAGCCTCCCCTGTTGGAGAGGCGGAAAGGTAAATTCTCCTTAAAGTTGTTGGACTTAGGCAATTGGGTCGTTCTGGGAGCAGAACTGGATTGGACCATGCTTAGCCATTGGGCCAATCAGAAGCAGTAGCCCTCAAGTCGTTGCTACCGAGCATGGTAGTGATGACTTAAGGATAGTCCTCTTTCTGGCACAGTCGTCGTAAGCTTCCTTGTGTCCGGAGGAATCTGTGCTCGGGCATCTGAAATGTTGTCGGGGAGCTTGAGATCCGGGGAGCCTAATGGTTGATGGGATCTGAAGAGTGGGGGTGCCATGTGTGCCTCGAGCCGTGTGCTACTATTTGCACGCAGTTTTTGCGCGAACAACCTCTGACCTCCTAACGCAGGTTTACTTGCGGAACCGGCCAAACAAGGCGCAGAACGATTTGGTCGAGCCTATGCGACATTGGTAGAATGGTTTTGTTTAGAATAAATTGGAAACAAACTTGATTAAAAATGTGTACAGTAATTGAAGGACAAACAAAATAAACAAGTAAAAAAATCAAGATATCTTAAAGTTTGGTAATGTAAATTGCTTTTAAAAGGAAATGTGTACGCTGTCATATATTTTACAGGAGTGGACTCTTTTCTCTTAACGCTTGGTACTCATAGTGTAATTTCCTCACAATGTTACAAAATGCGTCCCCCCAAACTGAAAATGAGCATTGCTTTAAATAGGAAAAGAAAATAAATGTTATTCTCTTCACGTTGGTTTTGGTGGCTCCATGTGTCTCTCCACCATCTTTGTAACTTCCCCACATTCTTAGCTTTTCAAATTTCTTCCTACTTAAAGATTCTCATACTTTGTGTTGGTTTTCTTGGCCATCAGTCGGCACCTTCAACGGAATAGTCTTGAGTCGACTCATAACACATCTTCTGCTGGCGTCGACTTGCGTCGTTTTCTTCACCACCTTTCCCAGCCTGTCGACCCACATGTTAGCTTTTATGTCAACTTTTCCCAGTCGAAATCTTCCATCCAACAAGATGCCCCCCAAAAACCCAATTTCGACTGAGCACTGTGTCGACTGAGAAACTTGGCATTTTGGTTTCCTGTGATATTTTGACTGCACCATGGTTCTGATCCAGAAACACAATCATTTTCCTTCTTTCGAGTCAGCCACATGTCACCCAAAGTATGACGTAATAATGGTGCCTTTCTGCACCACGATTTCTAAGAAAACTCATCATGCCTAGTCGTGTCCTACGTTATGAGCTTTAACCCACTCCCACTCGCTCTAGAATTGGAACATACCCTTTCCTTTTCAACTGCGTGCAAATTGTCTATAAATAGCTCTTGCCCACATTTGGTTTTCTTTTCCACCTTTTCTCACACTTTCCTCTCCTTTCATATTTTTGCTCCCAAAGTTCTTTTAATCTCTCTTTCAATGGCTTCCTCAAACGCTTTTGCAACTCACACCACCAGAAACAACCCCATTTCTTTCGTTCTCTCTAAAGTTGAATCCCTCAGGCCTCTTCCGAATCTGACGTCTGTTGATGACACAGTGATAGCGACTAGCAACGCCAGATGATCATACCTTTCGCGGTGGCTGGAAAATTGCACGCTTTCCATGGGTCATACCCTGACATGAAACCCAACCATGAGGAACTCCAAGCGTTTTTACCTTGCTACCATTCCCCCTGCTTTTCAGAAAGGTTGCACCTTCGACCTCAAGTTTATGGCACCAAAAGCTCGAGTTTTTCGTTCGATGCCTACTCCAGGCGACAAAGATTACATCTTTTGGCTTAACAGAGTTCAAGGCAAGCGTCAAGAGCAATGGAAGACAACTGACATCTTCAACGCTGTTCAACTCTCCAGGAATGCCCATAGGGTTAACCCTTTCATGCTGTTGGCGTCGATGTATTTTTGGGAGGGGTCGACCAACACATTCCATTTCCCCTGTGGTATGTTGACACTAACACTCTTCAACGTGGCAGCCATCACAAGTCTTTCTCCTTTGGGTGAAACCTTTGATCCGACTTTGGAAACAGAATACACTTTCGACTTCGATCGTGCTGGTTTCTAGAATTATATTGAGGACCATCACGATAAATATTTCGACAAAGTGTCAAATGAAGAACACATCACCTTCCTCACTCTTTGGTTGTCATACTACCTTTTCTGTCCTGGCTCTCTACAAATAGCTAAAAGTTATATCAACTTGGAGATCCAAATACGTGAGGGACAACAGGTATTATTGGGTAAGCTTTTATTATCCTCTCTCTATCATTCTCTTGGTTTATCGACCTTGAGACTAAAACTTCTTCATGAGACCACCAAAGACTTTAATGTCTCAGGGCCTATGTGGTTGTCACAACATTGGCTCAACGCCACATTTGAGAACTAGCTGGGTTACCCCGTGTCTGCAACAATGCAGCGTTTGAATGAAGAACGTCTCATAGAAGGCATTCGACTCACTTTGATGAATACTCAAGAAACTCCTAACAAAACCCTCTTCATGAAATATCTCAACATGTGTGCAGAAACAGCTTCCTCCGTCCCCAGCATGATTCCCTTTGTACATCGACGGTTTGGTCTGTCATGGTTCAAAAATCCATTCCTTGGTGTTTCCCCTAAAACGAAAGCAGTGTCGAATTCTATATGGAGGGCGTTTCTAACTCCCACCATGTTATCACTTCAAATTGAGATGTGGAATACAGGCTATGGGTTTATGAACTACCAGCCCAACTTGGTGGCCCGTCAATTTGGCTTGAGCCAGCTGCTGCCCAAGTCTCTGGTGCGGCATTCTTCTGATATCGTTTGGGATGGTCAACGACTAAACCTGACAGGCCACAAGAATTGCCTCAAGTTTTCTAGGTCGACTCAACGCCTCGAGCTGTCTGTTTTTGCTTTCCAACCATCCTTCTTTACTACATAAGGTTTTAATGTCTGGTGGTTAGAGTACCAGATTCAATGTTCCCAATGTGACCTTTTCTTGGAAAACATGGTCGATGTTTTTGCTGCCCTTGCTGGTGAAGTCCCTACTTCAAAGCTTGTTGTATCTGTCGATAATCTCCAAGGAGTTGGTGCCACAGAGGACCCCTCAAAGAAGGTACCTCCTTTGTCTTTCTCTTGTATTTTATTAATTATCACTAGCTAATCATTTGTGCTTATTTTCTAGGGTCAAAAATGGGAGCCAGCTGCTGCATCGACTTCAACAAGGCTTTCCAAGAAATAGAAAGTTCTGAATCCACAGGTATCTGATAACACGAAATCGTATATATATTTTGATGCATAATTCAACTAAAGTTTAACTATTTTCGATCCGATTTCGGGTTATTTCCGTGTTATTTGTCTGATGTTTTGCAGGTATTTGATGATCACGTCTAAACAAGGCAATATGAAGAAAAGAAGCAATCTCAGATGAAATATGGACGAAAACCGGATGAAAACATCATGAAAAGCGCAGAATGTTGATTTTGCTTCTATGACGACCATCACAGCTCCATGACGATCGTCACACGGGTGACGACCGTCACACCTTGTGACGACCGTCACACCTTGTGACGACCGTCATGCAGGCAAAAACGCCCCACTTCAAATGCACGTGAAAGAAGCAGTTCCAAGTCCCAAATAGTGGACCACTACTCCCTGATTATTCTGCCTCAAAGTCCACCCTCTTCAATTATAACCGTTAGAATTCCATTTCTATAAAAAGGGAAGAAGGGGACCTCAGAAAGGGAGCCGCATTCATACCACGAAGTGCTGCCAATTTATTTCCAGAGCAACCTTTCCAGTTTTTAATATTCTTATTTGT